TTTGACCAGATACCCTGGTTTTTCCTAATTTGAAAGTTTATCTGAGCAAGAAAGATTATGATCCCAAAATTCTGATGAGTGAGAGATATAGTTGACTGCCTGCTCAGCATGCTTGCTTGGCTTCCTGTCAGTATCAGATTCTTCTGCAGAAGTAAATTATGCCTTGCTGGGTTCCTTTCGAGCTGTGGGATATGAGGTGTCACATAGGAGAAAACATCAAGATATTTACAACAACTGCTCTTATGAACTTAAAGTCCTTATTTAGGATAGCTTTGGAAAAGCACAAGTTAAAATTATATATTAATTATACAAAGGGATTTTACTGTTACTTCCATGTATACAAGGTGTATTTTTAAAGAATTTGATCACTCTTCCCCTTTTTATGTCCACCTTTATAGAATGTACTTCAATCATCTTCATCTCCATCACTTTTACCTTTCCTGTTCCCCATCTGGCTGATTCTTGCTCCAGTCTGATGTTTCTTGTTTGCCTTTTATATTTTTTGCATAAGTTATTGTAAGCAAAATTACTTACAGAAAATACACTATAGACTGTGCTAACAAGGTTAAAAAGTCTTAGAATGGAAGATGCGTTATGTTAACTCAGATATGCCTATCTTCACACTTTTGTTTCCATTCTTTTCCATGAGGGGCCTGCTTTCACATCGGAAGTGTTTATTATTTTCTGTTTAACCATTGAATCATAAGCATCTCCCATTACTTATTCTGAAAACATAGGCACCCATTGTTGGTGAGCCTGTCTGTTAGTGAGCAAGGGTATTTTTCATTTTATTGGAGCTTTGGTTCTGGTTATAGTTTATCTGCTTCTCCCTCTGCAATTTGCTTTTCGCTCTGCAGTCTTTCCTGGAATAAAGCTGAGCAGTGGCAGAGCAAGTAGTCAAATGCTATGTTCACTCAGTGTGCTAGACAGAAATCTGCAAAGTAGGTATGTGCCAAAGGTGGTCCATTGAGGCATGGTGACAAATTATTATGTAAGTTATACATACACACAAGGGAGTAATCTGTCTTTAGCAGAGATGTCACGAATACAAAATTTTGAAAATATTTTGTGGACTTCTCTACAATTAGGCTTGAGTTAATTTTGTGTTGCTATTACAAATACTTGATAGTCACCTTAGAAAGGCTTATTTTGGCTCAAAAATTTTGAGGTTCCAATCTATAATTGGGCAGACCTACTGTGTTAAGGCCTCCTATGT